ATTCTATGTACTTCTGAGCTGCTTGGCAAAGGGTCTGCCCCTCGCACTGTCCTCTAAGTTGTTCTGATGGACTCTCTCCCTTGGGAGTTACAGGTTTGTCCTTAGCCTGAATTTCAGACAAGAATAACACTTCAGGCCCAGCCTTCTACTACATCTCTCAAACCTAATATTCCTTGCTGAAGCCTATATGAGTTTCTGTGGGTTCAGCAACAGTTGTACAGTTACTACTGCCCTTTCATGCTGCATGGGTCGGGAGCTGAAGACTACCAACATCTAGCTCGTTGTAGCTGCGTGTCAGGTCTCACTTCAGATATGCACGGTGGGCTGCGTCACCCATCTGCAGAGCAGAAACTGTAGGACGAGTTGTCGACAACTTTTGTGCTACTGTAATGGGAAGGAGAGAAGAGGTATGGTTTCCACACCTTCTGGCACAGGCAGGCATTGACCTGGTGTGTCCGTAAGTACTATCGTTCAGACAGAGACCTGAGGTTCTCTGGCTGATGAGAATGCTCCAGTTCTATTATCTTTCTCATGGTGTCTTTGTGCTGTTGTGGAAAAGGAACAACGTGCACATCACTTTCTGTAATGCAGTAGCCTGTACTGCTGTAGCCTGCTTACAGATCTTCCCACCTGCGCAATCTCCAGTTTAGAGACTGGGAGGAAAGAAATTGCACTATTCGGGTAACAGCATCATGTAGTAAGGAGTGAATTTTCTCTAAAAATCTAAAAGACGAGAGGATGATTGCTTAGAAAGACTAAAAAGCCTCCATAAATCCAAAAGGCCATTGTTTAATTTATTAAGACAGGCAGTAAACATCAAAACAAAATTATGAGGTGAGCAGGTGCTTTCTCCCTTATCATAGTATATTTCTTCTTTTGTAACTGAGTTAGACTTTTCACTAATCTTTGAAAATTCAGGAATATTGAACGTCACATAAAGTTATAGTTGTAATATATGAATAAAGGAATGCTGTGAGATAAAAGTGAAACTTAAAAGACAGACAGACAACAAGCTCTACTACATGAAAGAAAAACATTTCCTTCCTGGGAGACAGGCTGCAGAAATAAATATATATCTAGCTGACATTTCTTTGTATCTTATTCAAGCAGAATAAAACTAAAATTATCTCACATGCCTATAGGCTGCCCTGGTGCAAGGCACAGAAATGTAGAAGGGATTATTTCATATGTGCATTTTCATTTGCTTCCTTTCTAAGACACAAAAGCAGCTCATTCTAGCTGCTGAGAAATCATTTGGTAAAATTAATCCTTTAAAAATAGAAGATGTTTCCACTTAAATATTTTTCAGGCACTTCATGATATAAGTGAAGTAGTTTAACCAGGGGCAAATCCAGCTGCTTAGACTGACCTTGGAAAAAAACATAACATGAGCTGGCTAAAAATAAAAATATCATTTGGGAAGAAAAGCTATACATGAATTTTCCTCTTAGAGCTTTCTGTGCTGAAGCAACCGTATTAATATTGAAGGAAAGTATCCAGTTGTAAACAAAATTATTATTTTATAGCAGAGGTAAAACCAATGATCTGTCCTTACAAGTAACCATCAGCCTTTCTTTGCAACCTGGTGGCAAGATAAGTATGAAAAAGATGATGTTTTTTTTAGAAACAGTCTAATTTGCTTAGTGACATATGCAGGAGCAAGGCTTGCAAGATGAGATAACAGTTTAAAGAAACTGTGAGATAAATGGGCCTTGTAAATTCATAATTGTACAATGTCCTACCTGACTTGGTGCTGCGTGGAAAAACTAGCAATGATCCTCACTTTAAAAAGAAGCATCTGGAAGCATGGCTACTGCTGTTTCGTTACTGCAGCCACTTTGTTTTTTATAACTCAGCCTGATGATCAGATCATTTACTGAGGACATGAGAGGGCTGTGTTCTCGGTTTTGAAACCCCCCGTCTTCCACTTCCCCCACCAGTTCATGCTTCGACCCCCTGCTTAAGTTGTCCCACTGTGCACCAAAACACGCCAGCCCCAGGAGAGCGTGACTCTGTGGCCTGGGAATTAGAGACGCTCGGATGGATTCAGGCTCTCGGGGTTATGTCAGTTCTTACCTCAGGAGGTTTGATGGGAAGCCCAGGAAAATGCTAAATGCGCCCATCCTCCTTTTTTCTTCTATAATTTTAAAGAGAACTGGATGCCTGTTCTTAGTCAAAGACTCTGGAATTTGAATGTTTCTGCTCGCATTTTTATGAGTTTTAGAAACTGGTCAGAGTTCAGACTTGTACAAAGTCCTTTTTTTTTAAATTTTTTTTTATTTTTTACCTAGTTCCTCTCCTGTCCTGCATGTAGATATTTTTTCTAACTCCTCCAAGGTGTCTATTTCCCATGCTGTACCTCCTGTATAGAGGAACTGGTTTGGGGCAGGTGAATTCCTGCTCTTGAAGGCTTAGGAGCTTGGAAATGTCGCTGTGCCTGTCTTCTTTTGGATCCGCCCCAAAGTGATTGCAGGGAACGGCTGTCTTGTTCTTGCAAACCTCACTGGTTACTCTGCTATCAGACACATAGGTATAGCCAGAGCTCCCACATGCTGCAAAATTTTCTGCCTCAGGCCAGTTACTTTGCCTATAGTCTCTATTTTTCAATGTCTGGAGTTACAGGTAAAATAGAATTGGCAAGGTGATACAGGGAAAGCTTTATTAGTTGTAACTTCCTTAGGAGATGGAATCTGATCTTTCTCTGTAACTAGAAGATTTTGAGGCACTCATTTGTATTTTGTTCAGCTCTTCTTTTGTGAACATTGCCTCTCACCACTATGTGAATGTGCAGCAGGGAATTTACTCCCACTGAACTCAATGATTAAAAACAAGACTTCAGTGAAAGATGTTCTGCTGGAAAATACAGCAGAACATCGACAGTGCTATTCAACCGATCAGTGTTGGTTCCCTATGGTGCAGTTTGTGGGAATTGTGAGCTCCTGCAAGGTTTCTATAAAGCAAAACAGATGCCTGTTTGTTCAAGAATGCTCAGTTGTATGACCTGTCCTCACAAGGGCTGAAAGAGAGGAAAAATACAGCTGAGTTTTTTATCAAAGAAACAATTTCATAACTATTTAAACACAATTTTTTAAAATTGTACCTTTTGCTTGTTCAGTCAAACACTGTGATGCTTTGTTTGAAGCATAATTGTATATAGTGAATATACCTGCCGTCGGTATGTACTCTGATATGACTGCCTCATATTAACCTTTTATTTAGTCACAGTAATTATAAAGGTGACATAGGTTATTAGTAGGATTATCTGCTTGGGTTGACTGTGGAGTTTTGCTTAAATGCTGAATATATAATACTGCCCTAGGTTCCTTGACGTTTGCAGCAAATAACTATCTCTTAATTTTAGTCAAGAAAATTTCTGCTGTCAGATTCAGCCACTGCCCTCATATTGAAAGCCTGCTTTATAACATTACCATCTGTCCACTGTAATGAAAGAGAGATCTGGCTTTCAGACTCGCCCTGCAATTTTGGGTAAAAGCATACCATTATTCATACACCAAACAGCTCTGACGTACTGACTGACAGGTAATTACCTCCTCCTTCTCTTAGAGATTACTTTGTTCCAGTAAAAGAAGAAAAAAACCAAGAAATACTTTAATCAAATTATATATGTTGTTTCTGAGCTATAATATATTTCAAATAATCCAGTATGTTCATTCTATATGTAGAAAATTATTTCCTGAAATATTTTATTTATTGATCCTAAAACTGTAAATCTGGATCTGACATTAAGATGGGTGCTTATTATTTATCTGTTTTTCCCGTCATTAAGTTTCACAAACTTCAGATTGCCGGAATCTTTCAAAGAATGCTTTACTCTATTTTATTTTCATTCTTCACATCATTAGGAGGATTTTTCTGCCAGGAATCTCTTCCAAAGTCCTCCCATTTTAAGGGAAAAAGGCAATTCCCAAATGCTTCATATCACAAGGAAAATGAGGATTTAATGCATATCTGTGCCTTCCTCCTCACACATGCTGTGTTAGCTCACATCACAGCATCAGACAGAACCTTTGGGTTTGTCTTTGTGTCCCTGTCTGTGTGTGCCTTGAAATGGCATAGCTGCTGTACGCTTTCCATCCTCTTTTATGTTCTAGGCGAGACGTCAAGGGAGGTGATAACCACAGCATACGATGGGCTGAGTTAACAAACGCTAATTTTATTTCACGTGAAAAGTATTGCTGTTAACTGAAAGAGAATTCTACAAAGCCTGTCTGGTCTAAGCTGGTTTTACCACCTTCTCTGCTCTCCTCAGGATATTTGTGTATAATGCAAATAGGGCTTTATGAAGAGATTATTTAAAACACATGGAGTTGTAATTTCACTTTTTCCATTGAAATTCTAGTGTAACACCAGGTTTGGTCAAACCGCCAGGCCTTCTTTGAGCTAGAAAGCTATCAGGTCTTTTTTTCTTTCTGTGTTTTTCAATGTCAAGCTATCTGTGCTACTACAAATTCCTTTAAGCCCAGAGTCTTTGGAAGATGCTAGAAATTTTTCCAGTGTTATGGTTGATGGTCAGATGATACTCACATTTTATCCCTAGCTAGATGATACTTTGGACTTCTTCCTTCTAATAACACAAGGGCTCTACAGCCCCTCCCAGGATTTTCTGGGGGTGTTCCACTGATCCAAGGTGCTGCCCTAGTTGAGGGGGTGAGGGCTGTGTACGTGACATACCCTATGTAGGTACATGGACATATACATGTATACGCTTTGCAATATTCCTACACTTCTCCCTTGTAGTAAACCCTTTCCCTAATCTGTTCTAGGATGACTAGATAAAAACTACAGATAATGTAGCTACAACATGTAGGCATGCTGAAGAGCTAGGGCAGGAATCTGAAGAGCAGGGACTCAGTATATACTATCATCTTCTTTCCAGCTTTTAAGGACACCAAGTTATTATCGATTTCAGGATATTCACATAAATCACTTAAGTGGTTTATACAAAAGTATTTATAGGATAATATATTATGCAAACTTACAGCTTTCCAGCTGCATTATACATGTTTGCACATCCATTGGAAAATTTTTGAGATCCATCGGACAGGACAGTATTAAAGTCAATCTGAAAGAACGCACACAAGAAAAAGATTAAAAATATACCACAGAAATGCCATAGAACTGCACAGGAAGAATGCATGAAAACACTGGAAGTCATTAGAAATAGAAGAGAAGATATTTTTCCATTAGAAAGCTCTCAAAAGGCACGTATATTAGCTGAACCCATTTAACTTGCTCAGCCTAGATTACAGACTTTCAGAAAACGGAATTTTTCAGTAGGGCTGCCTAATTTTATGAGAAGTCTAAAAGAATGCAACAGCATGCTTTTTTTTATGCTTTAGCAGAATTATTGTACTGTTACAGTATTTCAAATCCTTGACATAAAATTTACCCAGATTTGCAAGAATTTCATAACAGATGTCAGCTGCAAATCATGGTGGCAAAGTAATTTATGTGTTATTGTCCTAAAATAAGGTGCTTAAATTGTCAACACAAAGGTTTAAGATAACATTTTATGATATTGATGGCAGACTGAAATATGCCTGCAATTTTGAACTGCAGCTGTGTTTTATGTTAGTCCTGATGATACTTCCTGCGACACAGGCCAAAGAGGTATTTTTACTTTTTTTTTTTATCAATACAATAACTTATCTTTAGAGTGATACTTCTCAGAGAAATGAGAAAGAAGAATACAAGAGGTAAAGGCACATGTTTTCTATCACTGGCCACATTTAGGTATCCATCATTCAGGGTCATGACTGCACCTTTCTTCTTGCTACAAAATATCTTGTGTGAAAATTTTACCCCATATGCATTTATCAGTTCAGTTGCTAGAATGTTCTCCAAAAACCTGAGGGGCCTGTGTCCAATTCCTTACACATAAGGCTTTTCTAGAATAGCAGTGCTCTAATCCCCACTCTCTTAAACCTATTTTCCTGTTCTTGGCATTGGGGCTAAAGGGAAGTGGCAAGTATGGCTGTATATTCCTTTTACCCTACTTTTTCCCCTCTCCAAAGCTTTTTGATTCTCTGTTGCTGTAAATTCTGTTTAGCCTGCCAGTGACAGGGCTGCAGGGGGAGAGTCGAAGGAGGGAACTCAGAGCCAGGCCCTATTCCCATGCTATTAAAAATGGTTCCAAATGCAAAATCTGACTAGTAGGCTAGTAACGCGGCACGTCATTTCAGAGAAGAGGCACCTGGACTTGACTTTGTGCTTCAGTAAATATTTTCGTATTTTATATTAAGTATTCATTGAATCAGGAACTGGAACCTTGTCATTATTTTCTTGTCTGAATCGTTCCAATGCAATTAGGAGAGGATGAGGCATTAGGGAATGAAAGAAAAAAGCAAATTTAGAATTTTTCTTTTAATATCAGCACGTTGGCAATTAGCATGCCTCCCCTCATCAAAAGCTTAACTGACTCAAATTCACATAACTCGATCAGATGCCAATGATATGATTTTAAATCTGTTTCAGAAATTGTAATAGTTCTTAATTAAATCATGGCAACATAAACTTTCTGGCTCCATAAGAAACACAGGATCTATCCGGCATCTGCTTTCATCACAGTCAATGTTTGCAGCTTTTACAGTTTAATATTATAGTATTTCTCATGTCTGTTCTTCCCTACGCCCCCGCCCTGCCATTTCATCTGGCCATGAACTTGGTCTAAATTCTGTTGAAGCTGCAATCCAGACTTGCTTCTGCTGAGTAGTGGTGTCTGTACTCTGTGTTGTAGGTATCTGGAGGGAGTAGGGCAAGGAGGAGGACGTATCTGATGGGGGTCGAAGGACTGCCAGTGCCTCTCGGGCTCACTCAGGCAGTCTGGAGATAATTGATTTAGCTCTGCTTTCTACTTGGGTCCGGAGAAGGAATCCCTTTTACTTGCTTTCCATCTATTTCTAGTGACAGAATACATGTTGTGACACTGAAGAATGATTATGTTCCCAGACTGGCAGACTAACCTCCTTTTGGATATGAAATGCTTGCAGGAATTTCAACCCAACCCTTTCTCCCCTGTGCAAGCCTGACGAGACGCTGCCCACTTGCACTGGAAGGAGGGAGGAAGACGACTCCCTTGCCACTGATATATCCACACAAGTCACAAATGTTTTCTTTTTCTCTTAGTATTCAAACCGTTTTACAGACCCTTATGTCTCTTCAAAAAGTCCAATTACCCATTAATGCAGTGCCATAAAAGCTTGCAAAGCAAAACACTAAATGGACAAGGGGTATATTTAGTTTCAAAAGTGTAACATTTTGGACAAGTGGGTCACTGTGTTAATACCGAATCTATACGGTGTCTAATGGGGCATTAGTATACTCGTATCCAATGTGTTTCTCATTAGATCAGGTTTTTGAAGAAAGTGATAAAATGCCTACTAACATCTGTATTAATAAAAGGAAAGTGGGGAGAAAAGAAGTAGGGTAACTAGATTTTGTCCACACTTATGATTGCTGCTTAAGCCTTTTCAAAAGTTTACTTTCCACTTTTCTCTCCATCTCCGGCAGTAAGTGAACTATTCTTTAAATGTCATGCTTCCTCAAACAGGTCATGTTTCCATGTTGAAGTGCAACTGCAATATCCAAAAGGGTGAAAAAGAAATAACATTGGATTGTCATGACATTGGAGGCTACAGCGTGTGAAACTCATACATAGGCCAGCTCAGATTATAATACTCCAGGATTATTTGCTCTGTGCAAGTGTCCTAGCTCCTCTAGGCTCGGTATCTGTACTTTAAAATGGGAAGGATACTTCTCTTATTATTTTTACTATGTGCATGCCTAATGAGGGATCATTTTCTATTTTAGTATAAACAATGAACAGTAACGATGGTAAAGTTCTGCATTCAAAACTCACAAGTACTTTAGTGATAGTTCTGCATGACTAGCAACTGAAGATATCCGTTAGCAATTCTTAGGTACACTTTTGAGCTTCTGTCTGAAGAAAATAATTTGATTAGAGACTCACCTGATGGAATAAAGTACATTTCCATTTTTGAAAATTCGCAGCAACTTATTATCTGTTGTAACTTCATGAAAGTTGGCACCTTTTTCATTAGCAAAGAACAAATCAGGTTTCCAGATTGAATCCAGCATGGATGGATCTAAGTCTAAAGAGTCATCGGGATATTCACTATATGCAAGGCGTGGATCATTCCAATTCTGACGGAGAAAGATGTTCACTCGGTAATCCTGAATGAAAGAGAAAACAAGCAAAGCCTTATCAAGCAGAGGGATTTAGCTTTTATTTCATTTCTTAGCCATGTAATCCCCTGTCCATCTGTGGATGACAAAAGAATTACTCAGCTGAATGCCAGCATGATACCTAGTTGTATTAGTGGGGACACAATGGATAAGCATAAAGATGCATTTCAGGGCAACTGTAGAAATTCCAAGCTAAGGAAATCCAGCCTCCATGTACAGTTCGTATAACTGCATATAACTCTACCCCTACAGTAGCTTTGTCTTGAAATCAAAATGAGAGAAGCATAAAAAGGGTTTTATGGAGTTCTGCCCAACTCCTGGCAGGGGCATTCCCACTTCCCTCTCTTTGGCAGTGGGAATCTGTCCCGCTGTAAGGGAATTTAATTTACTTTCTTTTTTCTCTCTCTACTCCTTATGTATTTTACACCCATCACGTAGACTTTCTGTGTCTCAGTCCCCTGCTGAAAATTTTGTGCGCAGTAACTTGCCATACAGCTGTCTGAGGAGGACACGTGTTCTTCCTCTATTCAATACGGTGGAGATCATACAAGTCCTTATGATAAATCAGGTTAGGTACAAGTGGAGTCACCTTAATTCCTACAGACAGTCCTGTCTTAATCAAGGGTGCTTTTATAGAAAAGATGAGTGGAGCGCTTCAAACTTCTGGGAGTCATTTTGGAGTTGTATAAACTCTCTGTCAGAGACAATGTTGTGTTTATGGCGGCATACTTTCTTAAAACTTTACCACTCTGAAAGATGAAAATATTCGCTCTAAAATAAAAGTGAGTATTAGCATCTCATTACACTATATCAAGAACTGAGAGAACTGAGACACTGAGAATAAGGATATAGGGACTACACTTTTATTGGTCATAATATGATTTTCCTCATTATTTGCACTACTGCATTAATGAAAAGATAAAATAGAAATAAAGACATGTTAGGTGCAGAGGGGAAATGGGAGTTTGCTGTCAGCTTACATGACACATTCTGAATGTAATAGAAGGAAATAATATCACTTATTGTTAAAAAAGGAAAATGAAATTTAAATTTAAAGAGAAAACTTTTTGAACCAGAACGGGAAATGAAGTGTTCAAGACTGAGCAGTACAATTTGGCGAATAACTCTGCGTAGTAGTTATCAGTGGTTAGAGTAACCAGTTAAAACCCCGCTAGTGTAGAAATTGTAGGTACTGTTAAAAATCCAGTGTCGAATGACTATTTGGTCTTACAAAACTCGGAACATGCAGCAATACAGTTATGAGAATCATGCCAACAGACATAATAAAGGACAACAGGAACCTCACTATGCAACATTTACTCATGAGAAATAGTTTTTTATATCTTCAGCATCCTGGATTTTTGGTCAATTTAACTACTCAGCTTGAATAAGGGTAGCCAAATATGCTAAAAACATGCTTACCAAGCATTTGTTGCTTAATCATCAGAAAATACTGCCTGTCATAGAGAGAAAGTCCTGGGAGAGGATTTTATATTCGTATACCCTTATCAATTTTCAAGACAAAACCAGTAAGGGGAAAACTACACCTGGAGAATGAAATTAATTCAGCTTATTGTTTTCAGCAGATATGAAAAGCTCTCTGGCCAAATGGAAGCACGCAAGATTAAATGCCAGGTAGAAAAAGCGTAAGATTGTTAATAAATTGCCTTTTTTTTTTTAAAAAAAAATTAATTTTTACACACACACACACACACACACACACACCCCCCATTCAGAAAAGGACTGAAAGAAATTTCCCTTCTTTTTTCTCACGGCTAGTGACAGCCTCAAGAGCCATAAAAAGTTCTTAAGAGAAGCTGTTGGTGTTTTTCATAATCAGCACCACGGCGTAATGAAACCAGAGCCAGGGATTTGTACTTTACAGATGTAGAAACAGGCTGCTGCTTTTTTCCTAAGGTAAACCAAAACCTTTAGACAAGCTTGTGCCTCGGTGTTCACAGAACTGAGCTTTTGGTGTCTTCCATGCAGCAAGAGGCCATAATGCCCCCTGAAATACCCTTATTTCTTTGCATGATATCCCAGCTGCCATGTAGTACCAGTTCCCCTGCCAAATTCCTGTATAAAATCAAAAGGCCAAGAAGAAGCAGGAGGTGGGAGCAGCGATGGCTCTGCTGCCCATCCCAACACCTGGAATCTTTGCACTGAAGGGAACACGAGCTCTAAACCTGCGGCACTGGCTGTGAGCACTGCAGCTCTCAGGGTTGCATCTGCACTTCAGCCAAAGCCAAGCTTTACCTTTTAATTTGTATAACCTGAAGTATGTAATTTATTTTACTTTTCTCTGTAGAATATGATTTTTTTATGTTTATAGTTTATGAATGGAGTTACTTATGGAGTAAGGGACTTCTCATATGTCTACGAAAGAACAGGTGAAAAATGCATAGCAGAAAGCTGAAATGAAAATGGAGGAAGATGGATGGAGGAATCTGTTCTAGGTTATATTAAGCTGTTCTGTATGTCAGTTTGCCTGAAGTTTATTGGTTTAAATTGTTTCCAGCTTTTAAGACAAAAAAAATCTTAGTTAAATTTTTAATTGAAGCAATTGAAGCTATTTTTCATTGTTCTCTCCCCTGAAAAATCTGACTTAAATTTGCTCTCATTATTCACTAAAAAACTCCCAATCTATCAAAAGGAAGGAGATACATTTGACTGCTGTCGTACGAAGGACAAGTATTCATCATCTCAGTTTATAATTACCCGTTGTGAACGGAGCGCTTAACTGCTGTAAACAAGTAGGGTTGTTTGATGCAAACACCAAGACCACAATTAAACTGCTGGAACTGATTCGTCTTCCTCCAAGAGAATTACTGTTCTCACATGCTGCTTGCCCAGAGCGGTGACCCCGAAGTTGAACCACTCTGTGCTGGGGAGGTCCCTTGAGGCCAGAGAGAGAGAAACCACCACTTCAGTTGCGGTGACTTCTGCAGCCACTCTGACCGCTGTCCGAACAGCTGCCGTACCCTGGCTCTGCAGCGTGCGGTGGCTTTACGGCTCTGCCCCGGCTCCACTGCCCTTCGAAACCCTTGGCCACAGGGTGAACTTTCTTGGAGGGTTGGGATACTGTCCATCTGCTTCACAGGGCTCAGTAAAATAAAAACTGGGAGATCAGGTAATTGCTCTTTGCTGTCCATGCTGAGGCCATTATGGACTCCAGTACTAACGTTCTGGTTAGCAATTTCCAGCACACAGTGAAATCTAAAATACTTACAGAAGGTGTTGATTTCTTCTTCATTATACCAATACAGATAGAGCTATATTCATACAGAATACAGCTACACTGCTTTATGGAAACTTTTGCACAAATCCTCAAGATATCAATTACCTAACTCTTACTGGTTTCTTTAATGCATTTTTAATATGCACTGTATGTGGAATCCTTCTAGATCTGAGAGAGAGAGATATAAAAGCAAATTTCCAAAACATGCCCTTCATTTGAATATTGCATATCACCTGCTCTCATGACTTTTGAATGCCGTAATTTGAACCAAATCATCAGTTTTTCATGCATAAATGAATAATCTTCCAGAGCTCTACCCGTTGCAGTTCCAAATACTATTATAATTTTGACTAATACATCCAAGCGAAATCTAGACTTGTCTTTTGCATAATGTAGTCAAATGATTCTTGCTTTATTTGTTCTAGCTCACTGTAAAATGTTAACGTGAAAATCTTATGGACTTTCCAAGGACACTGCTGAGAGTAAATTTACAGGCAGTATGAGAAATACTGTTCTTGTGAAGAATTTTTTTAAATCTAGTAACTATGGCACTTTGGTGTAATCGAAGCTGGATATGCTCCTCCTGTGAAGACATCACAGACATGCTGGAGAGAGCTGCTCACATGAAGGCTGAAGTGAGGAACAAAAATGAGCAGGGTGACCTGGAGTAAAGGTCAGGCAGAACTAGAGAGAACTACTAGAGTCATCGGGGGGACGGGGAATGACTGAAATGGTTCAAGTAGATGTTACAAGGGAGAGGAACACCTATCAGGAAGAATAAAACCTAAGGGAAGCCTAGCCTAAAAAAAGCAATCAATGTCTTGAAGAACCACTTCAAAGTAAGTCTGATCTTGTAACTATAGTGGGCTATTTGTTTATCACCTCATAGGGAATGAGACTATTTGGTCGCACAGTTTTGTGTGTGTTATAATTCTCCCTCTATCCATCTCCCCGTGCCCCCCCCGCCCCTCGAAGTTATCAGGTACTGAGTTATCAGGTGTTCAGTTCTAGTGAAATAGCATTTATAATTTCATATTTCAGCGCAACATCCTCAGTACACCAACCTACCTAAAAAGGAATGTTGTAGAGCATCTGTCACTTCATTTTCCATTTTGTTTCTTGGGTAAATGAAAAACATATTTGGCCTTTGTTCTGCAAAATATTACGCTTGCCTCATGCATTTTAACTTCAATATACTTTGACTTCTTAATCTTGATGTAATTTGTTAAATAGGATGCTTGCAACAGGCTAATTAAAAGCCTTTTGCAATTTTACCTTTAATATTTTCATTCTGATGTAACAGACTTAAGACTAACTGCACAACGGGAAGATAAAATGGAAAACTAAGCAGAAAATGGTTATTTTCTGAAGCAGATGAGTGCTGCATAATCCAGTATAGTACTAAACTTGTTACTGCTATGCAACAGCAGTAAAATGAGAATGTTAACTTTTTTTTTCGCAGTTTCTAAGATGAGTTTTCCCCTTGTAACATACACTTTCCTGGTTTACCCTAGCTAGAATTTTTTTTTTTTCTTTAGAAAACTATCAGAGAAAATGTCACAGAAGGTGAAGGATGATTTGGGGTTTTGTTATATGAATACAAAGGTAGTACCATGTGTGGACTTGATGGATACAGGCTGCCATAATTGTCTTCTCCCTCAGGTTTGCTTTCTCATTCTCAATGCTGTACATGAAAAGCTACTATGTTACAGACCATGTTAATAGTTTTAATTTTTACTGGTGAGATTTTTCTAAAGTTGCTATCTCAGTCTCTGAAAAACATGCAACTTGACACACATATAGAAGAAGGTGCAGAAAAGCATGATATAGGCCTGGACAGGATAACCAGTTCTGTGAGAGTAGACAGGAAAAGTTTGGTTTCTTTAAACCGGTAATACGAAGGACTTGCACTATGACTTGATTGATGACTTAGTTGCCACCCCTAAATACATCAAAGGGTAAATACTAGAGGGAGAAAACATTTTAAAACTAAGGACAAGAACATCCTTAATTATCAACAAATTTAGGCTGGACTGAAATGGCTCATCTGTTTGCTTATCTTGCTAATAAATATTGGTGGTCTTTTCACTGGCATGATTTATTATTGCAAATAAAGAGGCTCTATTTTTTATTACATCTTTGCATTATTACAGTTCTGAACTGCAGCAAGGAGAGCGCATATATCTATGCTGTATGGCAGTTCAGTTAATTAGTGAAAAAAAATTGCAACGGACTCCATGCTTCACCATTAACTGTAACTCATTTATCTGTCAGAGATTTACCATAGCAGCTAAAGAGAAATTAACTGTGAGTTAAATTGATCGCTGAGTATTTAACTTTAATTGACACATCAAATCTGTGTCAGAGTAACAAGATTTGACTCATGCCAAACATCCCTAAGAACATGCTTTTCTGTTCTGAATAGCTGTAGGGCATTCGTTACAAGAAGGAATGTAGATATGCTGTTGATTACGATCAAGAGTTTGTCTGACTCACAGAATCCTTCCTGATGATCTGTCCCTGGATAGTTCCATAGGTGAACTGATGTTGGCAGTGGGTAAAACTAAGGATGACCTGATGGTTCTCACTCTGGAATTACAGGACCCATAGAGAGGATGGGGGCAACTGCAGTTTGGCACCACTCCCTCAGCAAGAAGCAATGTTGTGAATTTTCCAGAACCATGCGATTCCTCCCTCACAAAGGAACGTCTTCATCGAGGGGTCTTAGGAGAAAGCCTTCCTCTTGCAATTTTTCTTTCTAATCCTGTGACTCTTGCAATTTTGCTGTCTAAGGGCAAGTATGCAGTTCCATACACGAAGACAGGGAAAACTTTCCTGTCTGGTCCTGCCTCAAGTTAGTTGGCTAAGCACTTTGTTGGTGATTAGGATCTCTAGATTTGAGCCCTCGCAGGCTGAGGATGAGCAATAAGGCCAGTTTGGTTCCTGGATAAAAACTCTAATCCTAGACTAGTTTGAAAATGGTGGATACTCTTACCCCCTCCATTAAGTAGGACAGGCCAGATGGTTTGGGGATTTGGGTGAGGGCTAACTTGCCTCTGATCTCAGGAAGCTTTAGGAAATTATTTGAGCTATTCAGAAAAGATTCTTGATGGATTTTGGCTGAAGAGCTCTCTCTTTCTTTGTCCGTGAATTTATAAAAGCAGATTTTCAGGTGTTCATTAATATTTTTAATCTTGCTAGGTTTTTCATTTGTTTGTTTGGGTTGTTTGGTTTTGTTTGTTTTTCTTACACTTCTGAGCTACTAGGTGTCCAGGTGGGTGTTCTGTGAACAGTTTTGTTAAAGTTTTATTTAAATTTTTCCTAATTCCTTTGCAGAGTGTTGGCTCCAAAAACTGCCCAGCAATACTCATACTGAAGTCAATAGAACTAGAACTTACTTGGCAAAGAATTAGCTAAAAATGGGACTTCAAAATTGCTACCTGTAATAACAGAAGTCTCAGATTCCCTTACTAAATCAAAATTCAGAGTTCAGCAAATAAGTATATGCACTACTTGTGCACCAAGTGCTCTTCCTAGGTGTGTCACCTGCTTTTATAGCCTTGGATGAAGTGGTATGGCCTCTGTTAACGTTCTGCCTGGGACAGACGAATGTCGCTTGCTTTCTCTTCTTCTGGGTTGAGTAATACCTCGTTTACCATCACTGCTAATGGTTTGGAGGATCAGAAGTGTTCTGTCACTACTCCAGTTCAGTCTTTCCCTTACTGAAAGTATGGCGTCACTTACAGGATGCTTATTAGGACGGAGCTATCAGTCCTTGTCATTCAACCCAGAGCTAAAAGAAGAATATAGTAGTTTCTGTGAGGTCTCCTTGATTTTTAGCTTCTGACTCCCTTGTCTTTATTACAAAACATTCAAAATCCATGGAATTCAACAGTGTGCTACAAATTCTGCTTATTTTCCATAGGTTTTAGGGTAGAAACATTGCAAAATGGACAGGTTTACTTAATTTTAGTGTTGTGTTTTTTTTTTTTTTTTGGCTTGTTATCATTAGCAATGGCTGGATTTTAGTTTCTGTGCTTACAAAGAATTGTCGTATCAAAAGTCAAAGCTAGTTCGTATCTAGGATGTTTACTCTTAAAATTAATTAAACACAGTACTGACATACTGTATAATAACATTTGTCACAGCTTTTACTGCATGTCCTAGAATATTTATTAATTGAAGATTGAATATACTACTTCAATTGTTAATGGAAGTTATGTGTTCCCAGCTCCTAATGCATTACACTAAAATCACATTTTGCAACTTGTTCAATGTAATTGCTTTTTTGCTCAGGGCCTTTTAAAATGTTTGCACTTTCAAGCAGTAGTATAAGAATTAGATGAAAATGGACATGACAATTACATGAACAAACATCATGCACTAAGCCTCTGTCTTTGCCGATCTTTGCCGTGTTCTCAGTTGACAAAAGATTCAGGGTTTTTTTTTTTCTGCAGACAAATGATGTGTCCCAGAAGATGTTTTTGCTCTAACAGCAGAAGGTATTTCTTGCTAAGTGAAAAGCTGAGTTTTTCTGAGATTATTCGTTTGTTCAGATTAATTTTCGTGCTATATATTCCATGTTGTTATAAACACATTTTATATTTTAGCACTTAGAATGTGACTGGTTTCAGTGAGTGAGTGAATGGGCTAATGGTAGAAATCTTTATTGAAAACATGTATTTGAAATCATCCTCTGTTTGATCTCCTCAGGGAAATATAGCCTGATTAGATTAAATAGGAATTTGGGAACTCTATACTACTTTCCCTGCAGCCTTTCTTGTGTTGGTAGGTAAATATGGCGTGATCTAGAAATAGGGTAAATAGGGTAAAATAAAAGGTAAAGCTGAACTAGCTCAAATCCAGAAGCAGGGCCTGCTAACTCCAGCAGCTTAAACACGCTAAAATGGGCTG